TGTACTTATAGTGAAAACTAACCTTGGATGATGGGATGGTAGACTAAAAGCTTTAGGAATCCAAAGTACAACATATAATAAGTACCCTGTATCAAGATTGATGCAAAACAAGTGATATTTGACCCTTCTGGGGCCATTTGGGTGGATTTTCCATATCTATGCTGGATTTTGACATGTGACATCTCTTTCTGACCGTCAGAGCCAATGGAATCGAGGGGAACTCCCACATAGTCCTTATTTGGTAATGTGTGTGTGTTAGCCTGCCGCATAGCCTAGACCGGAAGCAGCAGCCACTAAAGCATAGTTACAGAGCCGCTCAAATAAAGCCAGTCACCAAAACCACATGCAATCGCTTAAATGACATACACTGTATGGTTGCTTGTATCTTTTCCTACTAACAAACAGTCATGTTAAAAACTGTTATATGTATACATAAACACACATGTATATTTATGTATTGGCCATAATGTGTTTTTTATAGTGTGTCCTCTGTATTTGGATACAGTACAAATGTACCACAAGCAAACGTTATTGGCCATAATGTGGGATTTCCTTTTACTCTTTCCCCTAGATAGGACGCTGAAGAAATGCACCAAAACCAAAGGTCATTTCCAAAATTGTTATTTCTACAAAAAGAAGGAAAAGCATTTAGTGTTTTTGGACATTTTAACAATTCAAACTGTGACATCTCACACAGCATATGATCATTTAGGAATGTTTAGATTAAGAGTACTCTTTGGGGATGGTTTCAAGTGTAAGAAACAACAGCTTTTGTCAGCAGTCTATATCTGGGTACTGTCAGTTATAGGCGATCACTGTTCACTGGCAAGATGTTGGTGAATGGACCAAAACCTCCGCCTTAATACTTCATGAAACACAAGACGACAAAAAGACGAGGAGCATACGCCAGCAGCATATTCAAAGGTCAAACAGCAAGGAAGCAAACATAGCATTGTCAGGGCGGTGAGTGACAATTTAGAATATACTGTCATATCTTGTTCTGAAATCATCTAAAGTGAGTAGAATCATTATATTACTGTTTTTTGTAGAAGGTATCATATTTGAGAGGGTATACATTCTTTTGCGTTTTTTTTGTTGCATTTTTTATGCGCTATTCATATTGTTGGAGCAAAATGTAATGATACAAAAATATATAAAACGTTGAAATGGTCTTGCATAATTCCCTTTCCAAACTGAGATGAAATGCCTGACAAAAACAAGACATTTCTACAGTATTTTTTCTCTTTCTTTTTAGGATCCATCGAGTGCAATTTATCCGAGCATCCTGAAGCGACAAAGAGACACTCTGGAGATTACCTGCTGGAAGAATTTGGATCTAATGGTTCTTTGCTGAAAATGTTGAAAGTGCATCTAGAAATACAAGGTAAAAAATAAGTTTAGAATGTTTTTTAGAAAGAGACAATTGTTAAATAACTTGGTAAATCTACACCAGTTATGGAATATATTTTTGATCTTGGCTAACATGGTTAACATTTGTATTTTGCACTTTATTCAATTATCTTGTGATTTACTAATATGTGTGGACCTGCTTATAAAAATCCTCAACTTCAGTTAGATATAACTTAGAGATATTTCTTCAACATGTAATTGTTGTGCCATTTTGCTTTTATTAGACATTGAACGTTTTACAGGCAACAACACATCTGCATTGACATACAAATACAATTAACTTAAGAAATGTAATGACTGAATTTTAGCCTACATTTGCTTATGCAAAAAGGGATTGTGAACAAGAGTTTCAAAAGATACAATTGTGTTGTCACCATCGGGTTTTAGGCAATTATGTTTACATTTTACATACAGCATTTTGAGATTGAAAAGAACATGTATTCTTTAAAAAAACATTACAATTAAACAATACAAATAGGAATTAGTACAGCTAATGACTTCACAGTTAAAATAGTTGGTATTGCACTTTACTTAGCAACTTGTGCTGTAAATAAATGTATACGTTACTCCATGTTTCTTTCAGCTCCAGTGTCAAAGCCAGTGGAGTGATGAGGCCCGAGCCTGAACTGAACTCTATGCTGCCTCTAATAAACATATCAAAGAGAAATACGTGAGTTGTCTGACTGAAATAAAGTTTACAAACACAAACAGTTTTTTCAACATCATAATACACAATGACATCCCCAAATAACAACTCATCAACTGTTGATGGTCTAGTAAAATGGAGTTGAGCAGACTATAGGTCTATAATGGTCACTCACAACTGAACATTGATTTAAAAGATTATTGTTGATGACAAACTAACAACATCGGTGAGGGACAGTGTCCTGATTCACAGTAGAACATTCGTAATGAGGCTTCGACGGGCGCACTATTCAAAATGGTCCAACCACTTAATTTCACATGAAATATTTATAATACATAAATGACTCATCAGTGTTGTTTTAAAAAACGACGATGCGTCTGTTGTTGTGGTTCAGTGCAAACTTTTCGCTGTATGCTGGCAATGGGCATAGATCCATATCTGACAACGGTGGTACGACATAATGTGACTAATGACACGTTCAAGTGTTTCTCGGAAAAATCCAATATTTGTGTATTACGCATTGAGGAGTTGTTCCGACTATAACTTTCATTCACTTTTGAGAGGTAGGCCAATGTGGAAACAACATAGATGGTACTTTCCCCCCTTTTTTTCTTTTATTTGTTCAGAGAGTTTAAAAGTCACATTGATAGCTGTTGCATTAGCCTACAGCAGTGTTTCTCAAACTTTTTCACACCAAGGACCACTTAACCAATAAAATAACACTCGCGGACCACCTAACTCCACAAATATCCAACATCGCATCGTTTTTCTAGAACAGATTACAAATCGCCTGAAAATGGTACAAACAAGTGGCAGCAAGTGTGATGAAGGTGTTGCCCTGGGCTTTATCATGCCATCGAAAGTGAAACTTAAACTCGCTCCATTGTGGAGATATTCCCGCGAGATTGCGGAAAACTTAAATGTATTTATTTATTTCAAATGTGAGATGTTACCAATATACTCGCGGACCACTAGGGGGCCCTCACGGACCACCAGTGGTCCGCGGACCACACTTTGAGAAGCACTGGCCTACAGCATGGGTCGGCAACAGGCGGCCCGCGGGCCATTGTTGGCCCGGCAGCAATAATATTTGGCCCGTAATTTTGAGAATCAAAAATAAATATTATTTAGATTTTTTACAACATAGGACCGACAGTCGCACATCAGGGTTTCCGTTAGCCGCCGATCGATCGGCCGCCGGTCATTATCGGCCGATATTCACTCTTAATAGTTTGATCGGTGCTCTCTATAAAGGCCGATCAGGAGAGCTGGATCTGATCGATATGGACATAAACGCGAGTGAAGTATAACCGGACGCGAGAGAGAGAGATCAGATCAGTATGGAACGCCTCAAGTGCCACTATTCGCCCGTTTAAAACGCGCGTTTTTTGTAAAAACCGCGCGTTTTTCGCGCGTAAAACGCGCGTTTATTTGATCAAATAAACGCGCGTTTTATACGCGTCAAAAACGCGCGTTTATTTGATCAAAAAAACGCGCGTTTTTTTAATATGATAATGAGCCCCACCTTGTTTTGCATATCCAGTACATTTAAAGTGTGTGCAACCAATCAGTGAAGAGTTAAGCCAGACTAAAGCAATCTGTTGATGAAAAGTTCCTGTAACCTACCCCATTGTGAGATTTAGATAGAAAATAATCACAATAATTAAATCTAAATTAAACATTTACAGTAAATAATATAAAGTATAAACATATCTACAGTCACAATTTCATTAATGTTATTCATACTTTCTGTTGTGTAGTTTATTAATGTTCCCGTGCTTTCAGTTTCCATCCAGTAATATAATCAGTAGAGGAAAAGTGTGTGTGTGTACAAGATAGATATTAACTTTACTCCACAATTTCCTACCGTATTATTAAATAAGTCTGCTGAGGGGACACCTGTAACTCAATTCATGTGATTTTTGGGTGATTTATTCAATAAAAACCTCTGTATTTTCAGAGTTAATCAAATGACAGCCACATTGTTATCTAAAGTGTCTCAAACACGTTTAAGGAGTGCAATGCAACTGAAAGGTACACTAATAAAAGTAAAACGTTGTACCAACAAAAAAATATTAGAGTAATCAATCACACGAAATATTTTACATTGACTCAATTTCTTCAGATCAATCTGTATATTTTAACACCAGAGCACATTTATTTGAATGAAAAACAAGTTGTTCACACAACCAGCTTTGGCCTCTGAGGCAGCCATTACCTGATCTTAGACATGTTAATAAGTACCACAGTTAAAATGCGGTAATATGTGGGCCGCTTCCAAACATCAAACTCTTAGAAAAAAGACATGTCCTTATTATCCACTGCACACTTTTTTAAAGCAACACTGACAACGTGCGCCTGTGAGACATGTAATCTCTGAAAATGATTAGACATGCATAACTTCTACAGTGAAAATCGGTCATACTGTAAGTGCAACTTCTGAACACAACACTTTTTCGCAAATGTTTTACAATGCATAATTATTATAAAACCTTGGTTTTAGAAACCTTACCATGTAACAATGGTAACTGTGAGTGAGTGCAAACAAAGTGTCTACCAGCTGGGTTCTCAGTCTATTCACTTTTGAGCTCATCTTTTTCCCCTCCATCAGGACTTTTTGCACAACTTCAAAAGTGGATTGCAGTTATTTCTGATATCTTAAGTTCAGTCAGACAACTCACGTGTTCCTTTAACATGTTTATTAGAAGCAGCATATAGTTGAGTTTGGCGACTAGGCTCGGGCATCATCACTCCATAGATATACATAGCACGATGAGTGATGATCAAATAACTAACCCCCGAGCCTACAGGTGGAAGCTGGGGTGGTGGTGGGGCAGCGAGCAGCAGCGACGTAGAGGTAGCTGCGGCAATAGCAGCAGCAAGCAATGCATGGAGAGAGATCTGGCAGGTTAAATAGAGCGGCATATTAAGGAGACTCTGTTTGGTTGGTTGTGGAGTGGCAAGGGGGCGTTATGTATGAATGCAGCATAAGTGCTCGAGTTGACTGCCTGAACTAGCTCGCAGGCTTCGCCCCATTTCAGTGCGTATATGAGCCCGAAGAGCATGGCAAAAGCTGTCGCAACCGAGGGCAAGCCGCTGAGGACCTCTGTTCCTTCGATGAGAACCTTGACGTCTTTGGGTCGATGAAGCTGATCCTCTTTCCCAGTGTCAAAGGCTTCCATTGTTGCCTGCTCCAGTTCTCCAGCCTCAGCGTCCTGCAGATCATGCAAAAAAAAGGGGAATGGATGAGGACCACAGAGCGTAGTTCAACAGGCCTGAGGCGTCAGTTCAGTCGGCCCAAGAAGAAAGCTCAGGAGGTCATCACAAATGACTATCTTTCTAACCAAGCAGTTATTTGCATGCAGTACAAATATGTTTTCTTTTATGAACAAACTTCTTGTGAGTGAGTGGGAGGTCTTACCTGGAATTCTTTGATGAGATGGTCAACAGGTTCACCCAGGTAGATCATTAGAGATTTGAGGATGCATTCTCTTCTGATGGCGATGTCCACAGTCTGAGTAAGAACAGAGATATATATATATATAATAAATCAAATGCAAATAAAGGAGGATTCAGCCACTGATCCCACAGATAAAAAACTCATTCATAGATACCTCATCCAAAACCTGCAAGATCCCGGTGGTCTTCTGTTTCACAACTCCTCCCCTGCTCCTGATGACCTGAGTGTTTGTCCAACTGCGCCAAGAACTTTGTCTCCAATGGAATTGTTGTTATGCGCATTAACTCAGCATTTACCTAGAAAATATAAGCAGCATAGAAAACAAAAAATACTGAGAATTTATAATACACATGTTTTTTATAAAGAGCCAATGGTTTGATTAAAAGTACTCCAAGTCAGCTTGTATGAATGTAACATTTAAATTAATTAATCCACATATTTATTGAAAACCACCACCAAATAAAGACACTAAGAGTAATAGATGTAAAGCTTATATTGTGATATATATTACTCGGCTGTCTATAGTTGTTAGTTAGTTGGGCCCTCAATTCTTCTCCACTACAGGCTTACAATCAAGGGTTTCATCAAAATAATTACCTCTTCCATGTGAAAAAGTGCAGGCCTCCGCTCCAAGAGGCCTTCAATGCTTGGCCTCCGATGCACTATTTCTTGTCTTCAGTATCCAAACGCCTTCGCCATATTTTCTTTTATTGATTGCCGGTTGTTTCTTTTCTGTTGTTCTGCCAAAAGGAAAATTGTCTCTTGCTCCATGCTTTCTGGAGTCTCACCGAGGCGGTGCTAGGCGAGACTTCTTTGCTGGCTGGGTTGATCGTGATGGCTGTGGTGGAGGCCTTTGTCCCGAGGTGTATCTTAATCTTGTGGCAGATGGAGATGGAGGCCACTGTAGTGATGATGGTCCTCTGGTCCTTTGCGGTGAAGGCCCTTGAGCCACGGTAGATCTTGACCTGGGGGCAGGGACAGATGGAGGTTCTTGCTGCTAGGCCCAGGCAGCTGTGAAATCTGAAAAAAAATATAGGACAATAATTACTACTAAGTTTGTTAAAATGAAGTTCAAGTGGAATGTTTCTCAAGCACAAATAACAATGCACAACTCAAAATAAAATTATCTCTCTCTCTCTGGAGGAGGAGGAGGAGGAGGAGGAGGAGGAGGAGGAGGAGGAGGAGGAGGAGGAGGAGGAGGAGGAGGAGGAGGAGGAGGAGGAGGAGGAGGAGGAGGAGGAGGAGGAGGAGGAGGGTGTGAGAGATAGAAAGAGAGACGTTGTTAGTATTTGGTGCTAGCTCGGAGCTCACGGAGATTAGAAGCCGTTTCAACAATAAGGAGAGGGAGAGCTCTCTCCTGTGGGACTGAGAGAGATAACGTCAGCTCAGGGAGGTTTGGTCATCATTTCCATCTATGTAATATTAGTTGTATATAAAATGAGTTAATAAATCATTCCACTGTGTGCAATAGGTCAGTACAAAATAAAAAACACAATTTGAAAGGGGAGTGATTAGTAAAATATGCATAAATAAAAAGAAAGAATGCAGACTAGGTAAGATAAAGATAGGAGAGAGGAGTTGATCAAATATGTGTTATTGCTTGTGAGCAAGCAGGATTTTTGATGATTGAAATATATACTAGTACCCCCCCTAGAGGATGTGAGGTCATCACAAATAAAACAGGTTCACATGGATAGGATACTAGATAAGTGTGCACACTCATTATATACACTACACATTTTTCTTGGATTTATTAACACTATAGTCCCTAATATATTTGTAGAAAGGCAGGAAATGGAATTAAATTGAGAAAATGTTTCATTGCCCCCTGTTTTGTGTCCCCCCCACTTCGCAAACCAAAGTTACACCCTTACACCCACACAATGCAAGTACACTATTACTGTAATATTTACATTTACCTATCTTCAAATGGATCCTTGTTGCTGTATTCTTCTTCTTCAGGAGAGTAGAAGCCTCCAGGTTCTGATGCTCCATCTCCACTGCTGCTAGTGTTACAAGTCCGCTGTGCAGAGCTGGTAATCAGATAATAAGCCTGTTGATCAGGAGAAAAGAATGAAGCAGAGGGAAAGTTGCTGCCGTTTGTGTGGTCGTTCTAGCCAGAATGTATTAAACAAATTAATAAATTCACTTACAAATTATATCTGTTTTCTCTATTTATCCTTCTTTGTGTAACCGGTCTGGATTGACGCCACATGTATCTCTGCGTTGTGTCCATGGGCGTCGCCTGGGGTAGGCATCCGGGGCTAAAGCCCCGGATGTTTTTTCTTTAGCCCCGGACAAATTCTCCCTCAATAATATAATACATTAACCGTACTTTACCTAGAGGACGGCAGGAATGTAATTTCCCGTGTTCAGTGAATGCAACAGAGGCAAGACACCACCAGACCAATCAGAGAGTTGCATGGAAATAAACTTGTTTTATTGGCTGACAGTGACAGGTACGTACCTCTCCTCTGTGACAGTGTTTAAACTTTCAGCCGCGGACGCCGAGTTTCTGAAGATGGACATTAGACATTTTTTTAATAAAAAAGACGGCAATTCTCAAATGGTGGCTCACACAACAACCCCAGAGCCACCACCTGAGCCAGGTGAACAAGGTATGTAGGCTACATGTCAGTAAACTTACAAGTTATGTCAACATGTAAGCAAAGCATAAATTATAGCCACGTTGACGTTACTTTGAATCGCGCGGGTAAGCTAAACCGTTAGCAAGTAGCTATAGCTAGCCAGATATATTAAATAAACACTTTGTCATACAATCTAAATGTTGTGTTTTTTAGCGTTACCTGGTGATTTCAAAGAAAGCTCTCTGGGAAATGTTGACTTACTGTCTGTGTTCGACATGAAGTTAGAAGCTACCTTACATTACACAGTTGATCCTGAGTCCTGTCAGTTAAAGTGTTTCATAGTTAGCTTAGCTAAGCATCAACCTAGCACTGAAATATATGGATATTATGTGACAGTATTTCTGAGAAAAAGTCAGCTGAAATGGTGGCATAGTTGCCACTGCTTTACGTCGACAGCATGTTTGAACGTATTTGCAGCAGTAAATGTGGCTGTTTGGCCACTGACGTTGCCATAACAACACCTGCATTTAAATGTACAACCTCTTTTGTGACAGATTTTTGCAAGAAATTATAATTCTTCTGATTGATATTTCCTATTGACAGCTAGTTTCTATGTGAACATTATGAGATGGACAGCCAGCTAACAAGCTTTTTATACAAATATTTCAGATCAAAGCTAATCCAGTGGGGCTTCTGAAAGGGGGAAGGGACACTATGCTCCCAAATATTAAGCCTTGACCCCCATCTTAAAATTGATATGATCCAAAAATATCTGCATTGTCGGAGGCCTTTTTTCCTCATGATCATGTCAAATTGTACAGCTTTCCTTAGTGTTGAATGCAGAAAGATGACTATATTAGAGTATTAAGTGAAAATGACTATATTAAAGTTTTAAGTAAATGTATTAAGTGAATTACTCAAACTGCATTTGTATAGGAATGATTCTGTCCTATTGGCAGATAACTACGCTTAACACTGATATCTAACAAGAGGTTTCCAATGTAAATTTAACTATTTTCAATTGGTTAGTATTACATTTTGTGACAGTGTGGTGACACTCATTTTAATGAAGACACATTTGTGTATCTTGAAATTCGTTTATTTGACAGAGCTGGAAACTGATTGACTTACATACTTGTTTGTGTTACCTACACAGTCATCACAGATGAGCCAAACAGAGTAGAGGATGAAGAAAGGAGAACAGGAGAAAGGGACACACAAGAAGGAGATACAACAGACAAGAACAACAATGGAGACAACAATGAACAGGAACACCAGAACAGACAAGAGGCAATGGGTAACTGGGGAACTGATTTAGGGACTGCAGATACAGGGCCAAGGCAAGTGAGACATCACTGCTTTCCATTTGGCCAGCAAAAGAGATAATTTCAACCGCAAACAGCAAGAGATGAGGGATTATTATTTCCTCCTTCCATCCCTTTGTTCTGTTTAATCTGATTACTAACAACTTCTAATAATTTGACATAGTTTATGATTTAATTGGAAAATGAAGTGTTTTTAAATAATAAACCCGTTTCTGATTCTGATTCTTTGATTTCTTTTTGACATATGGGTGTTGAGAGATGTATCCATATCTCTTAATGTTGCTCTCAAAGTGCACAAGATTGATGCTTTTAACTTCAGTATTTAAAAAAAAGTCTTCCTGGGGGGCCCCCCCAGAGGAGGTGAGTTCCCCCCAAAATAGCACTTTATCTCTGCTTGTGTAACTCCGGTGTAGTGTCCCCTCGTCAACAGATCACTCAGAGCTGATTACTTTCCTGCATTTCAATGGACAGCATATAAAAAGGACACGTGAGCTGCATTGCTTAAGAGATCCTCTCATGCTATCTCTTTTACAAAATAAGTGTCCAGTCAACAACAAAACATCAGTGATCGTATAGTGGTAGTATATTTTTCACAAGCAATGTGAAACATTAAACTTGTTCGCTGGGCATGTCAAAAACCTCCCTGCTTTGATCAAGACTTTAGGGAGCCTTCAGCCCCTCTAGCAAAGGGACTGGAAAGCAAGCTTTGAAAATTCAGTACCATCTACATGCTGTCATGTTCCAGACACTGCTCTCAACCACTCAGGGCCTGCTTGAATACCTGCAGAAAGAAACAATTGACTTGGTGCAGGCAGTAGATTACAAAACAGCAGTTGAGAACACACTGAAAAGTTACCGAAGTAACAAGAAAGCACATGAGGTCTATGACAAGACCAAGGCCCTGTGCAATGATCTTGATATTCCCGAAACTGTGACACAGAGGAAGAAGCGTAGAAACATGGAAGACTTTGTAGTCGAGGCATCATGTGGAGCAATGTGAAACATTAAACATAAATAAACTGGTGTACAAAACTCACATACCTGCATTTCAATGGACAGCATAAAAGGACACGTGAGCTGGGTTCTGTTGGAGAAATAGCACCATGCTGCTCACATGAGCTTATTAGCTCAGATTAGCTATTGATGATCATGTTGATAAATCATATAAAACAAATAGCCAATCACACAAAAAACATGTTGCTGTGACTGTGAGCATTACACAATTAACATTAAACTAAACAAACACAACAGTACGTTATTGTCCTTATAAAATAAAAACATACATTTTGTCCACCGAGATAATACAGGCACCTTACCCTCAAGTGATCCTCAGGTGCTATGAGAATCTCCCACAATGCATTGCCGTAACAAAGCTAATGCAGGCACACGTTTGTGACACCAGATGGCGCAATTGTGTATGTGAAATTGTAGAAATGTAGAAAATTCGACTGTAGCGCCGCCACTGTGGGCTAAGCCCCGAATGTTTCCAGGTCCAGGCGACGCCCCTGCATGGCTCCTTCTTAAAGATAAGAAGCTAGGATGTCGGATATGCAGAGATGTCAAATCTTTGGGAATACACACTGGACAAGGACTGAAACTGTCAACTGAATGGGGTGAGTGTGCAGTGTCTCATTTCGGTGTTGACAAGGGCAAACAACAAGCTAGCCTGAGAAAAAAAAATCAAAGAACATAAAGAATCACAAGCCCATGTAAAAGCTGCTGACATCCTTACATCTGCTTCACGTGAAACTATTCAACATCAAGTGCAGTCTATGCATAAATCTGAATTAGACCCCACTATCAGAGTTTTTCGAACGGCATATAAAATTGGCAAACATAGCCGGCCATTCACAGACATGCCAATTGATTTGAATGTACAGAAACTGAATGGGCTGAACGTGGGCAGGGTTTTGCACTCCAATAAAACCTGTGGCGAAATCATCGACCACATAGCTCATGAGCTGAAGAAAAAAATGGCAAAAGACATTACAGAAAACCAAAGAAAACTCTGTGTTTTGGTCGATGAATCTACCACTATTAGTGGTACGGTGCTTGTTGTGTGTCTACGCTCAGCATTAGCTGATGCTGAGCCCGAAACGTTTTTTTGGGAGCTGATCGAGTTGGATGGAACAACGGCTGATGACATCACAAAGGCGTTAATGGAGTGTCTTGGAAGAGATTTTAACGAGGACTTTTTAGGTCAGTGTTTCGTTTCTTTTGCATGTGACGGGGCTTCAGTCATGCTAGGGAAGAGAACAGGCGTTGCTACCCAGTTGTGTAGTAAATTCCCAAGCCTGTTTGTGTGGCACTGCTCCAATCATCGTCTAGAGCTGGCAGTTGGGGATGTGGTCAAGGAGGTCTCAGGGCTAAATCATTTCCAGATCTTTTTTGACAAACTCTATTCCTTGTTCCATGCCTCCCCCAAAAATCAGAGGCAGTTAGCGCAGTGTGCGCAAGCAGTCGGACAGCGTCTCCTGGTGATAGGGCGTGTTTTGTCCATCCGCTGGGTGGCTTCAAGTGAAAGGAGCGTAAGAGCAGTCTGGGAAAACTACCGAGTGCTTCATGATCACTTCACAAATGCTGCAAACGACACGAGCAGGGATTCCAGAGACAGAGCAAAGTACAAGGGCCTGGATGATGTGCTCACATCTGCAACGTTTGTCAGCAATCTGGGACTGATGTACGATGCGCTCACAGAGCTCAGCGACCTCTCTCGGCAACTCCAAAAAAGAGAGATGACACTGCCTACAGCAGATAGGCTCTTAACTCGAGAAATACGAGTTTTTGAATCCATGGTCACCATGCCTGGCCCACACATGACTACAGTTCATACAGCTCTAGCTGAGAAGTCCTTCAAGGGTGTTGCCCTGCGTGAGAATGGCAGGCTTGTACAGATTCATGCAGGTCAGTTTTTCCGCAGTATGGTAGAGAATCTGAGACACAGAATGACTTCCACAACCTCCTCTCATGTCAGCACAAGAGAAATCCCATTACATGGCCGGGAGGCCCGGGACAATCAGCTAATCCAGGACATGAAAGTTATCCATCCTGGAAGTTGGCCTGAAGAGGAGTTAGACGTACAGTATGGGGACGTAGAGGTGCTACGTTTGTGCGAAGTGCTGAAAGTGGACAGAAGAGAGACTGTTCAGGGCTTTCGCGAATACAAGGAAACCAGGGCATCCCGTACACCTGCTGCCATGGAGCC